AATTTATGTACGTGTTCCAGCTGTACAACACTGTACTTACGGCCCGTGCAAGGCCCAATTCCGTCATTCTAGGATTAAAAAGTGGAGTTGTTTACGTTATCGTTATATTTGTGTATAATTGTAAATATTTAGATGATGAAATGAAAAAGGGCAAAAATTGGTACGGGGGCAATAATTAAGACTTACGGGACAGCATTGAATATTAATACCAACCTTGGATACTATGGTTAATATAATATAATTGTTGAATTAAAAGCGTGGATGACATGTGGATGAAATTTGGATGACATTGGATGAAATTGGATGAAGTTGTGGATGAAACCTAAAGTAGTGACCAAGCCTTACGTTGGCCCCGAGCGCCCGGGAGGCCGTCTGCGCAAGCGCGGCCGTACGAGAGCGCGGATCTAAGCTTCTCACTTCACCGAATGATCTATCTTTTCTTCTTGTCGGGCAGCGGCAGGTAGGCCGTAGGCCGTGCCGCTCCCGGACGAGGCCTGTATACAATGACCTAGCATTATCCTAATTTACTCTCATCTATACTAATTAGGATATGACCTAATATTAATGGTGGATGACGTTGGGATGACGTTTGGATGACACATGATACTATCACGGATATTTGAAATCCATATAAATAATTGGTTGTTTACATTACTGTTAATAACGTTAGTACTATTAATAGTACTAGTACTAACTAACTTCGAAGTATAGTATAACTTAAACATGCTGGGAAATCTGGAGGAAACATCAAAACTATTCCGGGGAGTTTATGGTTAATTCTGGTCATCACATACTCTGTACAAATTCACAATACAGCGTTACAAACTTGAGGACTAACTATTTGTACAGAGTATGTGATGACCAGAATTAACCATAAACTCCCCGGAATAGTTTTGATGTTACCTCCAGATTTCCCAGCATGTTTAAGTTATACTATACTTCGAAGTTAGTTAGTACTAGTACTATTAATAGTACTAACGTTATTAACAGTAATGTAAACAACCAATTATTTATATGGATTTCAAATATCCGTGATAGTATCATGTGTCATCCAAACGTCATCCCAACGTCATCCACCATTAATATTAGGTCATATCCTAATTAGTATAGATGAGAGTAAATTAGGATAATGCTAGGTCATTGTATACAGGCCTCGTCCGGGAGCGGCACGGCCTACGGCCTACCTGCCGCTGCCCGACAAGAAGAAAAGATAGATCATTCGGTGAAGTGAGAAGCTTAGATCCGCGCTCTCGTACGGCCGCGCTTGCGCAGACGGCCTCCCGGGCGCTCGGGGCCAACGTAAGGCTTGGTCACTACTTTAGGTTTCATCCACAACTTCATCCAATTTCATCCAATGTCATCCAAATTTCATCCACATGTCATCCACGCTTTTAATTCAACAATTATATTATATTAACCATAGTATCCAAGGTTGGTATTAATATTCAATGCTGTCCCGTAAGTCTTAATTATTGCCCCCGTACCAATTTTTGCCCTTTTTCATTTCATCATCTAAATATTTACAATTATACACAAATATAACGATAACGTAAACAACTCCACTTTTTAATCCTAGAATGACGGAATTGGGCCTTGCACGGGCCGTAAGTACAGTGTTGTACAGCTGGAACACGTACATAAATTGAGTGGGCAATACACTACGATACGATTAATACTACTGTACGTAGTATTACAGTAATAGTAATATCATGCAATGGACTAATAAGTTACTATTTTAATAGTAACTTATTAGCTTCGTACTTTGTACTATTAACCCGCTCGGATGGACGAGATTTCCCAAAATAGTACGAAGTATTGTCGATTTGATACAAATTTGGGAAGCCAATCGAATCGCGCCACCAAACCGATCTGATTGGTTAAATTTCATTGAGAAGGTTTTGATTGGCTAATAATTTTGAGACACTTCTGAAGTAGCCAATCAAATCGATTTAAATTCCAACGAGACACCACACCACAACACGAAATTTCACTCAAAAGCACAATACGAAGCTACTTTTGTATATATACTGGTAGTACAGTGTATGAAAGGTTGAGGAAACTTGGTTTTGTAATGAGGGAAGTACTATCTATGCATGCCGGTACTCGTATGGCTGGCTGGTCACCCGAACATAGGTTCACCATGGCGCATTGAAGCAAAGAATGGGGTTTTGAATTTCAAAGCTGGAGCCACAAACGTAACTCTGTGCTACCGGTAGTTACTACGTAGTGGAGAATCTCTTTGATGTTGGCGATGCTCTAAACTAGTTAAATAGTTGTCCACAATAACGTTAGGAGGTTATCCAAATACATAGTCCACTGTTATGTTGGTGCGAGTTTTCATGCTCATTTGCCATGGATTACAGCGTGCTTTGACGGAACCACCCAGGGAGAAGTAGGACGGGAGCTTCATCGCACGTTGTTCTCGACCAATTAGTATTTGAACTCGACGACATACTATAATAACAATAAATTACAAGGACACACCACTTAGAGTGAGCGTAAGAACTCCAACATGTCGTTGGTCCACGGGAGGTCGCACTTGGCTGGTTGTCGCGGCAAATTCAACGGAATCATGGGCGCGATCACGAGTTCCCAGTCGACATCGTCCCAGTCCGCGATCGCAAACGTTTCCGTTAGAACGACATTGGTCCTCTGGGTGATGTTTTCTGTGTTCACATGGTTGGGTCGCGTATGCTCATTACGGAACAAACTGTCGTGGTAGTGAACACCACCACCACCACTGCTGCTGCTGCTAGTGCTGCTGGATGTTGGACTGGACGGAGGGTCGATTGGGGGTTTGGCTTTCTTCTCGCGCACAATCCCCACTTCTCGACCATGCCGGCAGCACAACCCACCGCAGCGGGCATGCGCCGAGCACCCTTCGACTTTGCACTTGCGGCCTCCGCCGTGCCGGACACACTTTTGCTGGAATTGGGCCGGCTTGGTGCAGCCGTCGTGGATGCATTTCTTGTTCAAGTTGCGCGCCCCGTGCTTGTAGCAGACGTTGGCGAGGCGGGCGCTCAAATTGCATCCGTCCACAAAGCACTTCTTCTTGCCACCGTGACGGGCACATAATTGACGCGCGTACGCCTGATTGGTGCACTCGTCGACGAGGCATCGGCCGCGGTTGCGGTGGAAGCTGCACTTCCACGAGTTGGCCACCGCAGGTTTACCGCAGCCGTTGAAAAAGCAGCAAGGGGGGGTCGTGTTTTCTGGGCATTGGGCTGATGCCATGTTCAAGGGAGGTGCGACCACCGACTGGTAAAAGGGAAAGTGACCAGCATTGTCGTAGTTCGGGAAATCGTACTACCTACTGTACCAGCGTTACTTCTCTTGCTTACATCGTACTACTAGTACTAGTACTGTACAAGCTAGTCCTGAGTAGTACAAATTGGCGGCTGGCGACGGCGACATGTAATAGAGCCGGGTGAGTGCAAGAGACAAAGCCTTGATGCATGCGCGTCGTATCTGGGTAGAATAAATGATTCAAGTCAACCGTCGGCTGCATTGCTTACAACTGTATGACCACTGCTCTATGGTACCTTAGCTACTACAACTGTACTTTGACAATAAGACTAACGCATCAATCGAATATCGTGGCTGTGGCGGAGTGAAGATCCACCCAAACGAGGGTTTGGTAATTGTATTCACGTTTGTATGGTTTTGGACATCGACACCTTGTGTGGTTTTCGTGTGTCACCAGTACGGCTGGCGCCATTGTTCATCCAGCCCAAGGGTGGTAGGAAATCAGTGTGTTACACACCAGTCAATCATTGACAGGGTTGTGGCCGCATCGTACCCGGTACTGTAGTACTGGTGGATCTGGTCAGTGGTCCGGTAGGACCGCAATGCGGGGCTGAGGCCCTGAAGCCCAGCCCCTACAATTGTGATCGCAGAGCTTGAGTACCACCTGGTAGGCAAAACGCTTACAGTACGAACCATCGTTAACGCCAAGAAACATTGCTGTGATCGGGATACGGTGCAATATCGAGAGACACCTCAGATATAACTAGTTAGACTTGCTTTTCCACGAGAATTGGAGTTGTATGTATACTGACAACCCGTACGGTTGTCCTCTACATGAAACTGGTGACGAAATACGACTATAGACATCCCTGAGGAGCGAGATAAGTAGAGCACAAAAACGAAGCCAACCAGTATTAGTTTCACTGTACTTTGGTTTCATTTGCGTTGCAGGTTGACACTTAATGTTAGTCTAGCCAAACACCATATATCTCCATCAAAATGTGAATGGCGTGCCTTTATAGGCACGCGTACACGTTCATACGTGTACTCGGGCATCGATCCACAATCAGAAAGCAATTCAAATCGACATTAGATTGTGCGACAATCCGGGCGTCATCCTACTCGAGTACATTGTCTGACAACTGTATTGTACTAGTACAGGATACGATCTTGAGCACCTCGAAATATTGCAGTTTTAAAACCACCTGTCGATAGGTGACGACCAACCAAGAGGCATCCGCTGAATGCATCGCCTAAACATTCACTCGATGTGATGCCTTCGACGGCTACTGTACCAGTAGCGTCGGTATATTGACATCAATGGATAAGCAAGACTTCTCTTCACACATTGCACAGGTGGCTGGTAAAAATATAAACACACACTAACATATTATTATTATTATTCAATCTGACCTTACTGAATCACACAACACGCCTTGGGCGCCTTCGTTCCCTTGGGTTGGGTTTGTGCCGTTGACACATCATGTGACCCACTTGTATCCTTTTCTTGAGATGTCGAAGATGCCACTCTTGATGGCAGAATGCTCGACGCAGTATCCATAGCACCGCCACTGGTACCAACCCTGCAAACAGTAGCTTCGCCCAAATATGAAGAATTCTCTTGTCCATTCAACGTCACAAGGGCAGGTTTCCCCTTGAGCGGCAACGTCTTTAGGTACTCGAGGAACTCATTCTGGTTGTTTTCCTTGGCGGCGTCCGTGGCATCCTTGCCGTCGTAGTAGCACACGTGGTCGGTGTCGGCTCCGAATTCCACCAGAAGTTTGGCCACGTCGATGTGGCCGTAGTACGCAGCCCACATGAACGGAGTCCACTCGTTGCCCTGGCCGTCTGCCTCGATGCCTTTCTTCAGACACATGCGGACATCGTCCACCTTCCCGTATTTGCACCCGTGAATGAGCACGTCCGCGTAGATGGCAGACATGGTGCTCTTGTGCGGCGGAGGCGCAGGCTTG